AAGTAAGAAACCCTCCCTCTCGACTAAAACGCCCTAATGGGACTGAAGTCCCTAGGCACTGGAATGTACATCACTTAGTTAAATTTTATCAATAAACACCAGAGCGGCCAAGCCCTCATAAACTAGTGAATGTATTATTTTACGGCCCAAGGCCTAAAAATTCTGAAGAACGAAGACATTTTGAAGACACCAAGAACATGGAACAGGATTCTTGCGAAGGGCCAAGCCCTCATATCACCCCCTCGCCCAAGGCCTTACCCCAAGGAAGAACCCTCGGCACGAAGTGCCGAGGGTAGACAATATTATCACCTACGACTAAAAGAAAGTATCAACTGTCCTCAACTGGAGACCCCTCGGCACCTGGTGCCGGGGGGACACACCACTAACAGCTTTCAACAAATGGGAAGAAACACCAAGTGTTTCCACAGAAGACCCCTCGGTACCAAGTACCGAGGGTAGACACCACAATCACCTACGACAAATGAAGAAAAAACACCAAGTGTTTTCACAGAAGACCCCTCGGTACCAAGTATCGGGGGCCGTACATCGGAACAAACACCAAGTGTTGTTTCTAAGTCGTACCCCTCGAGGACGCCTATACCGAAGGCGCCACCTCTCGGTGCCGACAGCATGTAGTGCCCCCGGCCATTTGCAACCAGTGTGCAAATGAAAACCCTTCCCTGAAACGCTTTCCGCGTCATCACCCCAAGGGTATGACAGACACGAGAAATGCCCATGATTCAACTTTAAAAAATGGAACGCTTTCCGCGTCATCACCCCAAGGGTATGACAGGCACGAGAAATGCCCAAGATTCGACTTCCAAATCGAAACGCTCCCCGCGCCACCACCCCAAGGGTGTGGCAGGCCACGGACTATGTCTAGCGCCGAGGGGCGACTTTCAAAACTGAGGCGCTTTCTGTGCCATCCCCCAAGGGGAGGCAGGTTACAGACCACCATATCTTGTACCCAGGAAACGACCCTCGATCCCCTCGGAACTCGGAAGGTTAACCCGAGGGGGGAGCTAATGGTGTATTCTGTTACCTCCCGATAGGCCAAGCCTTACCAAGAAACCAAGTTTCTTGAAGCCTTCCCTTCACTACTCAAAAAAAAAATGGGGTGGTGAAGGGAAGTAGACTCGGCGAAAATTCAATGAGTACATCACTCCAACAATCCACAGAAACATACCAAGGGCTCCCCGCGGGAACACCTGCGGTACCTGGAAGCTCACAAGTACAAAGGATACCATTCACAACAGACATCATCAACAAGTGACTGAGTCCACTCAACAATTGCCTTCGGCTATACCTAAAAACCGAAGGTTTAAATACCACAAAAACATGGCGGGCTCAGCCAACAATAACTCAAAACGTCCCCGAAGGCTACTACATAACAAAACTATCAGATGGTGGCCAAACCAAATCAAGAATCACCTCCGGCACCTCACTACATGCCGAGGGGATGCATCCAGGCAATTCCCGAGGGAGTCTGCCTTTTTTATGCTAGATTTGGACTACAAACTCTCCTATATCGACATTGGGGGGACATAACTAACAACCGAAGGCTTTTTGTTGCCACGAGCCAACATTACAAGGCAAAGGAAACTATCCTAAACCTACAACGTATATGAAGGATAGTGTACCCGGGGGGTAGCTTATCCGGGGGGATATTGCGGGGAATAACAAGAGAGAAGTCAGAGCAAGTAAGTAGAGAGAGAAAGTGTATTCAGAAAGTATGCAGCGTTTTTGACTTGGTTACAAATGGGGAAATGGGGTGCTATTTATAGTAGCAATAAATGCCGGACAGGGACACGTGTCAAGCGCCCATTGGCCGAGAGGTCACCTCAACTGGTTGGCGCTGGCAGCCGCATGTGGCCGCATTTAATGCGGCTGTTGGATGGGACGTTGTACAGGGTACGGTGATCTGTACGCATGTGGCGCAGACATTATGTCGGGAGAGGTGCCCTCGGCTGCAGAGGACCAGCCGAGGGCTCTGAGTGCCGGGGACCCCCTGGGTTCCGAGGGCTCCAGGTGGCCGAGGGCTACTGTTTTCTGCCGTTTTCTCCCAGTTTCTTAGTTTGCTTGAAAAACCTGTTATGTGAGAGTTTTGAGCCTTCGGCCAGGGGGGCGAAGGCTCCCCAGTGCGCGCTGTGGGCTGCTAAGTGCTTGGGGCGCCGTAATTTGGGGCCTGCTGTGCTTCCTGGGCCGGTTGGGCCTTTATTAGTGTAATAGGAGTCTGTGGGCCGGGGGTTCCCGGGCCATATACTCCATCAGGAGTCCCTCACTCCTTTTGCCGAAAGGTACTTGAGGGAAAAAGAGTAATTCGTGCTTGCCCTTTGATGTTGTCCCGTTGTAATCTCTGAAGTTGGTGAGGAGCCGTTGCTTTCATGTCCCTGCAGAAGGCAGTCCCTCAGTTACCCACATGTCGGAACTTGAGGGATTGCTTGGCCGTTTGTTGGAATTGTTCACCATTTTGTAATTTAATGATTTTCCCGAGGGGGTCCTCCAGTCCCCCACTCCTTGAGGCACTTGTAAAGTGGTAAAAATGAGTAGAGTAGTTGCGCTGTTGTTGTGGGCCGAAGGCTGACGCTTTTCGTTTCATTTTGGGGGGATGCTTCGTTAAAAACCTCATTAGGAAAAACCCTGGGGGAAAAATCCTAATGAGGGAAAAAGAGTGCACCGAATTCCCCCAACGATGAATCGAAAATGTGAAACCTTGGTCAAAAATGGAGAATAATGGTAATGCCGAAGGCTCTCCTTGTTCTGAGGGCTCATGTGTTGAGTAGCCGGAGGACTGCTGTTGATGACCTGGGAGGTGCCGAAGGGGAGCCCCTCAATCTGGGGATCGAGGGCGTGATGGATGAGGGCAATAGTTGATTATTGCCCGTGCTTGCTGATTAGTTGGTGATGAGGATATCCGAGGGCCCTCATTACCTGTGTGCCGTAGGCTACCCGTCAATGAGGCATACTCCCCGGGGGCTACCCGGCCCTTACAGTGCTGAGGGGGAATCCCCGAGGGGTGGCCTAATATGAAGCCTTGGGGCTTCTGAAGGAGTGGTCCCAAAGGCGACTGTTACGTACTGTGTGGGGCACAACCCGGGGGCGTCTCTGGGTAAGTGTACCTGGAGGTTCTTCTTGATGAAGTGGAGTGAAGTAAGAGAATCCGGGGGCTCCCAGAATATAGCCGTTGGAAATATAGCCGTTGGAATACGTAACATCAGGATATAGCCGTTGGGGGAGGTATACGTGGCGCGTGATGGTTGGCTGTCCGTGGGCGGCGTCACCGGTTGGGCAAAGACACAGCGTGTAATGATGACGGTCCGTCCGGAGGCCCGGTTTCCAGGCCCAAGCCCGGATTCCAGCGCCTATAAATACCCCAAGGCCAGACACTCCTCCTTGTGCGAAACCTTGTTAGCGAAGCTCTGCCGAATTTTTCCTAGAGAGAAACAGCAGCCCTCGATCAAACTCTAATTCCCAGGTCAGTTCCCCACTCGCCCTTCACCTCTCTAGTTAGCTGTCTTGTGCCCTTAGGCTAGGAGATAGAATTTTTAGAAAACACTAGCGTCTACGAGCCCTCGAACCAGAGCCAGAATGTCGTCCCAGAGTGATTCTCAGGACATCTCGGGGGCGCCCTCGATGGAGGATGAAGTCCTCTCGGACATGGAGTCCTCAAGTGCACAGTCTTCGGTGGGACAGGATGCCGCCGTCGCCCTGGAGCTGCAGAAAGCCCTCGTCGCTGAGGCGGAAGCCGAGGGCTTCGAGCAAGAATGTGAGGATGAAGAGCTGGCCCTAGCCTGGCAAGCAGCTGAAGAGGAGGCGCAAAGAGAAAGCGTGAGCGTCACCGTTGTTGTGCTCCCCCCTCGGGGTGCCGGTGAGGCCAGCACCTCTCGGCCATTGAATGCGGTTCCCATCCGGGTGGCCCCCGGAAAGAAGAAGGCCAAGGTAGCTGCTCCCAAGAAGAAGGGCAGCGTTGCAGATCAAGGGAAGCCCCTCGATATGCCCGAGGGGTACTCCTACCTGAACACCGCCGCCTTGGAAATAGGGTCGAAGGTTGATGCGGCGGATATTTACGTCACTCAGCTTCACGTGGGCCCCTCGGCCATCGTGGTGACACCGGGTCCAGATGACGTCCTCTCCCGGGCTCCCGAGGGCTGTATAGCGGTGCATGTTCTCTCGGTGTCCATGGGGCTCCGCTTCCCCCTGCACCCTTTCCTCCGGGAGTACCTTCGGTTCGTGGGTCTGGTCCCCTGCCAGCTGACCCCGAACAGCCATTCTTATATTACTGGCTTCCTCCAGCTCTGCAAGTCCCGGGGGGTGACGCCTAGCCTGTACCTCTTCTTCCAGAGCTTCAATTTGTGTCGGGTGGGGGGGCACGCGAATGCCGAGGGCTTCGCAAACTTGCAGCAGGTGGCCATGTTCAAACTCTTCACTGAGGCGCCCTCCTCGAACAAGGGGTGGAAAGACCGGTGGTGTTACGTGAAGCTGACCGAGAGCCCCTTCCCGAGGGAGTTACGTGACCGTTTCAGGAGGCACGAGAAGAGGAGGAGCACCGCCCTCGAGAAAGACGGCAGGATTCTGGCCATGATCCCGGAGGGCCGGGACAAGAATATCACCATTAAGGAGTGCACCAAAGAGGGAGATCTCTACACCCTCGGGTTCCGGAGGCATCGCTTCCTGGGGGAAACAGATGAGAAGTTCCCGGTGTTTGAGGGAGCCTCCGGAGGTAGTGGCTGAGGGCAATAGTTTATTTGCTTGTTTGTTTTATTCTTTATGCCCTTTGTTAGTGACCCCTCGATTCTAATCCCACATTTTTTTGCAGGTATCCCAGTAAATATGATGAACGTCAAAGGCCTTGCCCGATTCAAGAACAAGCCGGCCAAGGATCCGAAGGGGTCGGACGCGGGTGGCCAAAAGCCCCTCGGTGCGCTTTTTAAGAAGCCCGAGGGCGACGCTGCTGCCGCGAAGAGAAAACCGACGGCAAAGGAGTCCCCCCAGGCCACCAAGAAATCGAAGAAGGGGGACGCTGCGAAGAAGGACCCCCGGTGGTGATTGTGGATGACTGCCCCGCCTCCGGGGTGCACGAGGAGATGCCGGTGGCGAAGGTGCCGAGGGGTGTCCGGGAGCCATCTCTTGAGGTCCTCACGCTCTCCCTCCCGGCTGGTACGGCCGTGTTGAATGGCACAGCTGACCCGAGGGCGCTTCTGAGAGGTATAACCCTTGACATTGACAGGGCAGCCCTCGGGGCTGATGATGACCAATCCCTCGAGGACAGGATCCTCCGGTCTTCCCTCACGGTAAGTCTATGACAGTTATCTTTCTCTTCTTTTCTCCGAACTAGGAAATTATGTTCGGCCCTGCTAACTCCTTTATTTTTGCAGACCTGCATTGCCCTCGGGGAGCAGGCCCGACGGCTGGAGGAATGGAGCCTCCACAAAGCTGGGCAAGATGCCAAGATGAAGGAGCTAATTCTCAAGGACTCCAAGACCACGAAACTGATGGCCCAGCTTGAAGAGGACCTCCAGCTTGCGAGAGCGGAGGCCGGAAGGCTCAGGGAGGAGAAAGCCAAAGCTGAGGAGGCTGCTGCGGAGGCCGCAAGGAGAGCCGCCGAGGAGGCCGAGGCCATCAGAGCGAAGGCTGTCGCCACAGCCCGGGAGGAGGCCATCTCCGGGTTCCTGGATGGGGGGTGGAAGGCCGAGGGACACAAGGAGTGGTTGTCCTCGGTTGTGGAGGCCTCAGTCGATGAGTGGTGCAAGGGCCCGGGCGAGGAATGGATGGCCCGAAAGGGCAAACAATATTATGATGGGGGCGAGTTTTTCACCCAAGCCCTCATCTATCAGAGGATGGCCCGTCACTTGAAGATTGAGCCGAAGGACTTTGACCCGGCGGCATACGGGCTTCCCCCCTTCAGCCAGACATCCGTGTTCCTCTCCCCTCCGATGTTGAGAGGCCAGACCTGGAGGATACTGAGCTCCGGAAGGAAGCCGAGGGTGACGAACCTGAGGCCGATGCAGAGGTCACTTCGAAGCCATCGGAGGAGGCGGCCCCCGGGAATGACGTTGTTTAATTTGTAATTTATACTCAGCAATTTGAACACACTTGTAATGATCACATTCTTATGCTTTCGGCCCCGGCCATCTTTGTAAATATCACATTTACTCTTTTTTCTGTCGATTGATGAATGTTTGCCTTCGGGCTTTTCATATATAACATGCTTCCTTTCGATTTATCTATTCCTGAATGTATGCCGTCGTTTCCTTCTGAGTGTATGCCTTCGCCCTTTTTGAATGTATGTTTGGGACTTAGAATATTTTCTAAGTGTTTGAATACGGTTGTAGCCTTCGGTAGTTGGGCACCCTTCGCTGGATATACAACCGAGGGCTCAGCAATAATTAGGACTTAGAAAATTTTTCTAAGTGTAATCTCACCAAGTCCTCCATCGTGTGACCCCTCGGGTTGCAGGGAGATTCGGGACTTAGAAAATTTTTCTAAGTGTAGCACACCATAGGGCCTTCGGGTGTTTGTAGTTCAATCGTTGTGTGATGATTAGGTTGAGAACACAATCCTTAGGACTTAGAAAAATTTCTAAGTGTAGTTTGCCCTTGGAAGCCCTCGGCTGGTAGCCTCCTTCCTGATATGTGAATATTGGACCGAGGGCCCAGTATACAGGACTTAGAAAATTTTCTAAGTGTGTTGTAGATGTTGAACCTTCGGTCAGTGAGGAGTCTGTCCGAGGGGAGAATATTTAGGACTTAGAAAATTTTCTAAGTGGATCTCAGATGTTGAGCCCCCGAGTGGTCCTGATAGGAGCCCTCGAATCGCTGGGTGAACCTTCCTGCTGCGTGGATATTTGGCCGAGGGCCAAATATTCAGGACTTAGCCTTACTTCCAAATGCATGGTGTCAAGTAGCCCTCGGCTCCGGGGTGATAGCCTTCCCCTTGATGTATAAGTAGTTTGACCGAGGGAAAAATATGTAGGACTTAGGAAATTTTCTAAGTGCCGTTTCATCTCATAGCCTCCGGCTATCATGGTTCCTTAGTTGAAATACCAATCTGGCCGAGGGCCCAATCTTCAGGACTTAGAAAATTTTCTAAGTGTTGCTTCCTTGTGTAGCCTTCGGTTAGTAGTGTTTTCCACTTAAGAGTTCCCGAGGGCGACATTATTTTGGAATAATCCCCCTTGGTTGGCCTTTGATGTTTTGTAATAGATGCCTTCGGTCGTTGGGTGATATGTTAGCCTCCGGCTGTTGTCATTTTTTCAAGAGTGTGGACTTAGGAAAATTTGTAGGATATTGATGTTGCAGTGAATGCTGGTGGGATATGGGTGCCCTCGGCATTCATTTGAAGGGTTCTTGAGCTGCCTTAGTCAGTTGCCTTCCCTTCTACAGGATAGGACCCCTTGGTAGCAATGGATGACCGATGGTAGGTGCCCTCGGCACTTATTTGAAGTGAACTTAGCCATTTAGTGTACTTGAGACAGTCCCATTCCTTTGTATTGTTGAGCAGTAACCTTCGGGAAATAGGAGCCTTCAGTTACCGGAGGTGTTCCCGTAGGGAGCCCTTGGTACGTTGTGATTTGTTGGAGTGTTGTACTCATTGATTTCTCGATGAGTCTACTCCCCTTCACCCCCTCTGTTGGTGGTGAAGGGAAGGCATCAAGAAACTTGGTTTCTTGGTAAGGCTGGGCCTATTAGGAGACCATCAGAATACACCAATGGCTCTCCTCCCTCGGGTTAACCTTCCGAGTTCCGAGGGGTTCGAGGGTCGTTTCCTGGGTACAAGATATAGTGGTCTGTAACCTGCCTCCCCTTGGGGGATGGCGCGGAAAGCGCCTCATTTTTGAAAGTCGTCCCCTCGGCGCTAGACATAGTCCGTGGCCTGCCACACCCTTGGGGTGCTAGCGCGGGGAGCGTTTCGGTTTGGAAGTCGAATCCTGGGCATTTCTCGTGCCTGTCATACCCTTGGGGTGATGACGCGGAAAGCGTTCCGTTTTTGAAAGTCGAATCCTGGGCATTTCTCATGCCTGTCATACCCTGGGGGTAGTGACGCGGAAAGCGTTTCAAGGAAGGGTTTTCATTTGCACACTAGTTGCAAATGGCCGGGGGCACTACGTGCCGCCGGCACCGATGGTGGCGCCTTCGGTATATGCGTCCTCGTGGGGTACGACTTTTAGAAACAACACTTGGTGTTAGCTTCGATATGTGGCCCCCCGGTACTTGGTACCGAGGGGTCTTCTGTAGGAACACTTAGTGTTCTTTTGACGTTGATGGGTGAGATGTGTACCCCCGGTACTTGGTACCGAGGGGTCTTCTGTATGAACACTTGGTGTTTTTCTTTTTGATGTTGATGGTGGAGATGTGTACCCCCGGTACTTGGTACCGAGGGGTCTTCTGTATGAACACTTGGTGTTTTTCTTTTTGATGTTGATGGTGGAGATGTGTACCCCTGGCACTGGGTGCCGAAGGGTCTTGAAATGAAACACTTGGTGTTTTCACTTTTGTTGAAGGTGTTGATGGTGTCCGCCCTCGGCACTCGGTGCCGGAGGGGGTTCTTCTCGTGGTGAGGCCTGGGGCCTGTAGTTGGTATGAGGGCTTGGCCGCTCATAAGTGTTTTGCGGTTGTTCTTGGTGTCTTGAATGTGTCTTCATTCCTCAAAATTGGAGGCCTTGGGCCATAGGATAGTACATTCACTAGTTATGAGGGCTTGGCCGCTCTTACATCATTGATAAAATTTAACTAAGTGGTGTACATTCCAGTGCCTAGGGACCTCTTTCCCGTTGGGGCGTTTGAGCTTGTAAGTCCCGGGTTTGATGATGGCTGCTATGATGTAGGGACCTTCGAATTTTGGTGCCATTTTGCCTCCCTCGGTCGGTTGGCTGGCTTCCCTCCTCCGGAGGACATAGTCCCCCACTTGGAATTCTCGGGTGTGAACCTTGGCGTCGATGTAGCCTTTGACTTGCCTTCGGTAGTTTTCTGCCCGGATGAAGGCTTGTTCCCGGCGTTCTGAAAGGAGGTGGAGGTCGAGGGCCATGTTGTTGTCGTTGACCTCGGGGTCATATTGGATCACCCTCCGGGTAGGAAGGGTGACTTCCGTAGGAGCTTTGGCTTCAAAACCGTAGCAGAGGGAGAAGGGTGTTTCACCTGTTGCTCACCGAGGGGTGGTGCGGTAGGCCCAAAAGATGTTGTGGAGTTCTTCCACCCAGCCACCGCCCTCGGCCTCCAGCTTCTTTTTTAGGCCCTCGAGCAGGGTCCGGTTGGCGTTCTCTACTTGCCCGTTGCCTTGAGGGTAGGCAACGCAGGAGAAGGTGTGTTTGATGCCCCATGCCTCCAGAAGGGCACAGAAGGGGGCTGCCTCAAATTGCGTTCCGTTGTCGAAGATGATCTGCTGGGGGACGCCAAACCTTGTGAGGATGTTCTTGAGGACGAAGTGACGGCACTTTGCCTCTGTGATACTGGCGAGGGGCTCAGCCTCTACCCACTTGGTAAAGTAGTCGATGGCCACGATGATGTACCTATTGTTGGAGGTACCCCTCGGCAGAGAGCCCACGAGGTCTATCCCCCATCGAGAAAAGGGGACGGATGTGCTGATGGGGGCATAGTTGACCGCTGGCCTACCTGGGGCTTTCTGGAAATGTTGGCATGCGGTGCACCTTCGGGCAAGGTCAGCACAATCCCTGGCCATGGTTGGCCAGAAGTAGCCCTGGAGAATGAGCCTTCGGGACATGGAGAAGGGTCCCTGATGAGCTGAGCAAGTGCCACTGTGCACTTCCTCCATTGCGACCTCGGCTTCATCTTGGTGAAGGCACCGAAGTAGCGTGCCGTTGTAAGAGCGTTTGTAGAGCCTTCCGTCTTCGATGGTGTAGCTAGGAGCCCTCAGCTTTGTTAGTTTAGCGCGGGTCTCATCTTCGGGTAGCTGCCCTGCGGAGATGAAGGTGATGATATCTGAGATCCAGTCCTCTTGGCGTTGTTGTATGTTCATAACGGGGCTTGCATGGATACTTGAGAGACTGAGTTCCTCAATTTTAACAATCTTGGAGATGTGCTCGGGGGAGTCGGCCGAGAGCTTAGATAGTATGTCGGCCTCGGAGTTCTGAGCCCTCGATATTTGAGTGAGAGAGTGTGCCTCAAACACCTTAAGCAATTCCTTGGCCGCCTCTTTGTACTGTTTCATTCTTCCCTCATTGGCCTCATATTCCTCGGAGATTTGGCCAACGACCAACTTGGAGTCGCACTTGATGTGGATCTGCCGAGCCTTCATGTTGCCAGCCAGCCGAAGGCCACATAGGAGGGCCTCATACTCGGCCTCGTTGTTGGAGACTTTGAAGGAGAAGCAGATTGCATAGTAGGCTGATGTGAGTTTTCTAGGATTGGGCTTCTGTGTCGCTAGGATGGGATCTCTCGGACTCCTCAGATAGGGCATTAAACAACTGATCCAAGTGATTTTCCATGTTTTGCATCCTTGTGTCCGCTTGCTGTTGACTTTGCATTTGTTGTTGTTGAAATTGCATTAATTTCTTGAGTGTTTCTTCCAGGTCAGACAGCTTCTCTGAA